TACTTCCGATTTGATTTGAAACTGTCTCATTGCTATCTGTTTATCAATAAAACTTGGAAAAAAAAAGATTGATACAGATATTGATGTTAAAAAGAAAACAAGAATTGTTCTGCATAAGAGGATGATTTTATTAAACAAAAGTTACTGATCATTTCTAGAAAGAGTTTAAAACTTAGAGCAAATATTTTTACCTAACTAATCTTTACTATTCTTTAAGATACTGTCTATACTATCATATCCTCAAGGAAGCCTTACCTGACCTTTTTTAACTCTGTAAAGGTCACATGCCTTTCTACACTCAGTACATTTTCCTTCATAGCTCTTAAATAAAATCTTCATATTAAAACATAATACCAAACATCCACATAGTACCCTTAGTAACAAAATTTGACCAGTGAAACTTTCTTTCCTTTTTTTTTTTTGGCAGAACCGGGGATTGAACTCAGGCCCTTGCGCTTGCCAGAGAAGCACTTATTCCACTGAACCATCTCCCCGGCTCCAGTGAAACTTTCAAATGCAAAAAGAGTAAAATGAACCTACATATGCACAAATGTATGATTTTCTAATTAAGCTCTATCATTCCCATTATACTATGAATTCTATGAAAGCAGTTTCTCAGAAGACAGTGGTCACTCAAAAAATACTCATGAACAATGAAGAAAAGCAAATGTTGCATTGGGTAGGAACTCATTATAAATAATATACACATTAAAAAGTTCCATTTAAAAAAAAAGTTCCATTTATTCAGCAACATAAAGGTATATTTTTAAAATAACCTCACTTTGGCAAGCTCACTTATTACATGTACAGATTTTTCTCTTTCCGTGAGGTCTTCGTTCCTTATTATGAATGAAATGGAAGAATAAATTGGTAAGTTCTCCTCTAAATTTTTACAAGATAAAGCTTTTCTTTCTAGTGCTTTGATTTTTTTTTTAATATCAACGAACTTACATGCCAAAAAATACCTATTTAGTACTTAAGTAGAATGGTTTTCCTGAATTTAAACATTTAAACAATATTTTTATGGTAATCTGCTAGTACACTACAATATGATTATTTGAAGTCAATAAGTTTCATAGTTGAGGAGAGTTGGGACGCTCTCACGAAATTAACCAAGAAAATGAATGTAAAGACACTCATATAGGGATTGGTAGAAAGATCTTAGAATAAGTGCTTATTATTGTAACATGAGAAGACTCAACAATCATAAGCAATACCTGAAAAAATTATGGTTGAAGATAAATTAAAACTTGAGAAAACTAAAAAAAAAAAAAAAAAAAAACATTTCACTGATACACAATAGCAGTTAAGTATACCAAGTACAGCCCTGACTTCCTGAATTTTATACACATAGGAGATAAGGTCATCTCTGCTTTGTGGCAGCACTATGACAAGTGTTTTTCACAGATATCCTCTGTCTGGGGTTGTACATGGAAGAGAACTTTAAATGCACTCACAAATTACATATATGTAACTTCATGCCTCAAATCCTTTCATAGAGAAAAAGAGAAACCAGAATGTTTTTACCTATTTAAGTTAAAGTCTGCTGGAGCCCAGAGTATATGACAAGAACTTGGAAGTCCATCACGGCCAGCTCTACCAATTTCCTGGTAGTATGATTCCATTTCTTTAGGTGCACCATAATGAATCACTCTGCGAATGTCCGATTTATTAATGCCCATTCCAAAAGCTATAGTAGCTATGACACACTGAGAACAAATAACACAGGTTGACAAACTAAATACAGAACTAAACCTTTCAAAACATTAATAATTTGTTTCCTCAAGTCTCGAACATAAAACTGAATTTAATATAATTTTATACAATCACTTATAGATTTAAAAAATTACTTGCCCAATTTATAGATTAAGGACTGGTAAACATAAAATGGGATTTTTATTCACTCTAGAAAAAGGAGCAAATAAAAAGGTGTCTAAATGGGAGTCTAAATGTTTTGTTAATATATAATACAAAACTTTCATGCTGCTATGAAGTTTGAGGTGTCACATCTGACTACAGGTACCTTATTCTAACATTATCCAAAGACAGAAGTTTAAGAACGATGGTACAATGAAACGAAAGATTATCTCTGCATATTTATGAGGGTAAAACTGATAAACTAGCTAATAGGTATTATTATACAGAGGTAAGATTTACATGATTGGGAAAAGATTAAGGAAGAACTAATAATAAGTACACAGAAAACTAAAACAGCTTATAAAGCATTAACAACAAGAACAGGCCGGCGGTCGGAGAATTGGCGGAAACCAGAATAAAGCACATGCATGCTGAAATTGTCGGAAGGTGAGAAATGACTAAGATAACAGATGGTAGGCAGATACTGGCTAACCTGAAGTAAGAAGATGCTGGCTAAAGAATGTTGCTGGCAAAGTGAACCCCGATAAGTCATCACTGCCCAGAGGGTGGTGGAAGCTCCTCTGGGATCATCTCACTCTTGGGCTTGTTGAGAAGGCCCATGGTGGTAGTTGCAACCTCCGGGTTACTCTCATCTCCCCTCACCCACCAAGCTGCAACTCGACAGACTGGAAAAGTAGACACTTTAACTCTGCCTAGTAATGTCTCAGTGCTGTGGCTGCCTTCTCTGTGATTGGTCATCGTGGGTGATTGTGGGTAGCTAGAAATGGTTGGACGGTTATAAAGTTGAAGGAAGAATGCAGTGGAGAGAAGCAGCACGCAGGGCAAATAACTGCACAACAGAAGTAAGGCTGCGAAGTAGTCTCGAATTTACTTCTCCAGTGCTCCATTTTTAATAGTTCACTCTGACGTGTATGGACACGTATTACGATTCACTGAGCTCCATGTCAGGAAATCTCTGTAACCGTCTCTACTGCAGACACTGCAGGTCTGCACGGCTCCCAGAGATCCTCAGATTTCAAAGTTCAGGGGTGAACCCTCACATCACCTTGTACCAGAGATTGAACTCAGGGCCCTGTGCTTGCCAGATAGGCACTTATTTTACTGAGCTATCTCCCCAGCCTGATTTTGTTTCCTCTTTGCAAGTTTGGTGGTTCAACCTAGTCTTCCCAGAGATAGCAAGTTTCCAAAATGCTACATTCTCTCTTAAACTAATGAAGAAGAAAAAGGCCAATATGGCTCCTGGGCAAGCAGTGCCTTGTTCCTAGTGCCCAGTACTCTAGATTACTGGGGAAGACCTGATCATGGAAGAAGGCAAGAGCACTCCAGGCCAAGGAGCCCTGAAGCTTCTCCCCATGGATTTACACTCCACACGTAAGCAGGAGGGCCAGTCACAACCAAGACTTACAACCAGATATACACATGCATGGCGGACTCCACAGAAGACATGCCTGCCTGTTTCTTCTACACATCACTGAGGCTGGGCAGAAGAGGGACACCCAGAAGCAGTCTTGGAGTGTAAGAGTCCTGTATTGGCCCTGCTCCCTCAATATCCTGTGACCTAAGAACCTCACATTTCCCAGTGTGCACCACAATCCCCATTCTCCAAACAAAGCCTGTAGCCTCAGTCACTCCCGGTAAAGGAAGCACTGATCTAGTTAACCGTTCAACAGAAAGCTGGGCACTGCCAAAGGCTGAGGACACAGGAAAGAACATTCCTGGCATCTCTTTCATTGAGTGAAACTTCTGATTTGTACAGAAAACACAGAGAATGTATTGTTACAATTTACTTTTAAAAATGCTAATCATATAACATTGATAAAATGAAATAATAATATATTGATAAGGAAAAAAAAAACAAGAACACAAAAAGACAACAAAGTAACCAGAATACACCACATTATTTAAAGGTAAAAAGCATTTATAGGTTGTATAAATCTCATACATTCATCTAAATAAAATCATGAGTGTATTCAAAATGGTTATGATAGATATATAGTTACATTTTCTTAATGAATAAAGGGATTTGCTCTAACAGTGTTTGTAAATAGGATATCAAGTCTGCATCTTGTACAGCAAATAACCACTAGGAAGAGAGTATGCAATGTGTTAATTATTGAAACTATCCTACCAATTTGATTTGAAACTGTCTCATTGCTATTTGTTTCTCAATAAAATTATGGAAAAAAATAAAAAAATAATAAAAATTAAAAAATCATGATATAAACAAATGGGAGGAAAGAAGGTCAAAAATGCATGGGGTCAGTGAGGAAAAAAGAGTGCAGAGTGTGAAAATGAGAGAACTTCCATCCTGCGGATTGCATCAACAGATAATGTCAACAATTAGTAAAAAATTAAGAGACAGCAGTGAATACAAATCACATCAGGATATAGCAGTAAACATCTACAGGCTCAGAGTTGGGGATGGGAAACAGAAGTGGTAATGGAATGAGGGGCTAATGATTTTCACAGAGAATATGGAAAAACTATTTGCGTGTATAACTAATAAAAACTAAAGTGCTATTTTGAAAAAGAAACATGCTAAAATGACAAGAACTTGGAAGTCCATCATGGCCAGCTCTACCGATTTCCTGGTAGTATGATTCCATTTCTTTAGGTGCAACAAAAATAGAAAAGAAAAAAAAAAAAAAAAAGGATAAATGAGGGAAAAAAAGAAAGAGGATAGACAAAAGATGCATGCAAAAGATAAGGGAAGATTACACGAATGAATATAAGTAAAAGCTTTGAAGAAAGAAGTCTAGGCAACTGGACTTTATTTAAGTGTCCATAAACACAATAATTCTATGTTTGTTTGTTTGTTTTTTATGTATTTAGTACAGGGTCTACAGGGTCTCACTACATAGACTGGACTCGCAGTGATCCTTCCTGTTTTTCAACCTCCCAAGCACTGGGATTACAGGCACCACCACACCCAGTTTCATTGGACATCTCAGCATGCCCCAGGGGGCAAGGCCAGCAACACAGTAATTCTAATCATATTATTTTCTATATGAGATCAATTCCAGATTTTATTTTCAAATTACAAACTGTCAGTTGTAAATAAAAATGTTTATCAGTAAATTATTCATAATTTCATTCTAGAAGTGAAATAAATTTAAGTCATCTTGAAAGAACAACAAAAAAAGGATACAAAACTAAGGATTAAATGTCTGCATCTAAATGTGGGTAGATTTGGTTATAGTAAGAGGAAATAAAGGGGTTTTTTTAGTTATAAGATGAAAAACACTAAATTTCAAAGCATCACTCATTGAGAGTTCATTAAGAGATCAGCTCTACTTTTAGGCTCACACTAAAGCATAAATAGATAAAAAAAACAGGAAAGTGAGTATTTAGAATTCAGTACACTCATGCCATAATAAATAATGGTAAGTACTCAATTCCAAGAGCATCAATCTATTCTATAAAGATGATGAAATGTATCGAGAATATAAAAATTTTCAATGCAAATGTGACACCTTTGAGCCATTTAAGGAGACCAAGACGTTACAGAACAAACTCAACTATCAGCCTAGAGTAGCAATGGTGGTTCTTTTAAGAGTTTTCAATGACAGGAAGAGCCCACTGCAACAAGCGTGCCACAGGGTCACCATCACTAGCCTGGGGTGAAATAATCAATATAAATTTATTAATCTTCATAATGTAAAATTGTAACATCTTAGAGAAAGGGAAAACAGCAGCATATATATATTGAAAAACTTTGGGCAATTCTGTCAAACAAAAACAGAATGCATCCCCATCCACCTCATTCATTGGATCTGGCACTGTGTGACTTCTGGCTCTTCCCCAAAGTCAAAATTAACACAAAAGGTAAAGTTTGAATAGATTCAGAACATCAATCCAAACAGGATAGCACAACTGAAGGTACTCATCAAAGAGGCCATCCAGAACTGGGGTGTGTTTGAAGTGAACAAGAGTATTTACGGGGAACTGAATGTGCTTCTGATTATAACAAGCTTTAAAACTTGGTTAACATACTTACTGTAGTTTTTGATCCTGCCTGTAGGTTTGATACAGTCACAACCATTAAACTCAAAAACATAATGGAGTAGTGAATAATAATACTTAAACTTTATTCTGTAGTACAATAAGGATTATAAGGTTCCTGGAAGGCCTGTGAACTGTAGTTTTTCCTCATACCAAATTCGAAGAGAATTATTCTACTTTAATCTGCTTTACCTATTAGATAAAAGTCCACTTAAATTAAAAATTCCAAGGCTAATTAGTAGCCAACAAATTACAGAAATATTACACTAAGCCTTGCTTCCCTCTTTGTGTATTTTAATGCTACTTATTCCTTGTCCAACCAACTCATTCAACTCTTCCCTATGAATCTCTTAAGAGTTTCATACTCCCTTATCGCCTGTATTTTATACCATTCCACACTATCTTTCCCTCCACCATTCTAAACCACTGATGATTTCCTATGCATTATTGGCTCATGGTCTATACCTGCTAGTCTTTCTTCCTGAAATTCCACAACAAATTTCATTGCCCTTATCATAGACTGGCCTGGTAAACTGGACAAACTTCTATCTATACATTCTGACTCTATTCAAATTGTATCTTCCTGGATTACACAATCTACCTTGACAGAGCCAGTGCTCCCTAAGCAATAGTCTGCAAGAGTTTATCCTATATCCATCTCTCACACTATATGCCAATCCCCCTTATGCAGAGACTGCTTTATGCTCAACACAAAGAACAGTATTTAATAGAGATGTGGTAAGTAAACATTTGAGAAATATTTAATTCCACTATAAGGCATAAAAAAAATGATGACTGATGTTCACACCTGAATTTCATCTCTCATGAACCTGTGATGAACATCTTTCCTTGTGTGAAAACTCATGCCTGCATGGTAGGTTCCACAGGCTAAATTTAGTTTCCTAAGTTCAGCAGTAACTTGTTCTGTCATTTTTCTGGAAGGACAATAGATAATAGTTGAACCTTCAAATTCCCATTCACAACTATAAAGAAAAAAGAACAAGAGAATAAACATAAGCATTACACATACACTTTAGACCAGTTTGAGTCTTATCTTAATTTTCTCTGTCTCTGTCTCTGTCTGATTTATTTGTTTCTTTTAAGATTGAACCCAGAGCCTTGACATTCAGTTACATTCCCTGCCCACTGCTTTTTGGTGGTGTCTGTTTGTGACAGGGTTTTCTGATGCCCCCAGGTGGGACTTGAATTGTGATCCCCATGCCATGGCCTCTTAAAAGTGCTGGCATTAGACTTACACCACCCTGGAATTAAACCTGAAATTAAAGTTATTCATGTAATTAGCAAACCAGAAGAGATGAAAGACTCCTTTTGTTTACTTATCAATCATTAAGAGGAACAGTATACATATAAAACTAGCAGAATTGCTCCTAGCCTTGAAAAATACACTTTTCTTCAGTTACTAAATTGTATAATACTATACCTGAACTGCAGCAAGACAGAATTGTGAAAAATGCTAAACATGTATTTAAAGGAAAAAAAAAAAACAGGTTTTGAGACAGTGTCCTGCTATGTACATTAAGTAGCCCATAAACCTGCTACAACCCTCATGCCTCAGCCTCCTGAGGGCCTGGCTGAAGGAATTAATTTAAAAAATTAAAAAGCTTTCTAAAAGGAATAAAATAGTTAACAAAATTCTTACCTAGTTTTTTTGACAAGAAATGGCTGTAGATCTTGAAGAATATTCGCTGTTTTCCGTCCAACTTCTAAATACAGATTTGGTCGATCAAAACTAGTACGGGTAATCTGAGGATTGTTCAGTTTCAAGCAACGTATAATATCTTCCTGGATTAAAGAACTTGCAGTAGCAGTGAGTGCAACTATTGGAACCTGAGTAAAGTTAAAAAGTGGTCAGAGGGGAATCTCATTATTTCAAACATTTCTACTGCCTTCTTACAAAGAATCTGTTATAACTACTGGAGTACACTGTTATAAACATACAACCTTAAAATCACTCATTTATTTTTTTTAAATTATTTATTTATTTTTACATTTATTGTGTGTGTGTGTGTGTGTGTGTGTGTGTGTGTGTGTGTGGTGCTGGGGGATCGAACTGCGGTCCACTGTGCTTTGCTAAGCTTGTTCTAAGTAGGTGCTTTAGACCACTGAGCCATCTCTCCAGCCCAAAATCACTCATTTATAAAAAACAAAAACAAAAAAACTTATACTTCAGACTCCTGAATACAATCTTTGTCTCTCCTCTCCCCCCCATTACTGAAAATTAAACGAGGGACTTGCCAGGCTAGCTAAGTGTTCTCCTACTAAACTACATTTCCACTCCAATATTTACTTTTTAAAAATCAGAAATCATTTAAATAAAACATGAGATCCATAAGATTTCAAAATACAAATGACCACACTAAATTACACCTACTTATTAGGTATCTACCTTTGCATTTATTATTTTCAACATTTATTACATCTTTTAATAGTGTGATAAAAGGATAGGCCATATTATTCTTTATTATTTCTTTTTTTTTTTCCAGAACCTGGGATTGAACTCAGGCCCTTGCACTTGCCAGGAAAGTGCTTATTCCACTGAGCCATCTCCCCAGCCCCTGCCCTATTTTTTTTTAATCAACTATAATTCATATATTTAAAACACAAAAGAATTCCACATCACAGTATCTATACTATTCCTTTTAATGATTGATAAGTAAACAAAACTCATTGGTATGCTGCATACAAGAAACACATTTAATACAAAAAGGAATTCACACAACACTCAATATCAATGTCAGGCACGGTGATGCATGCCTATAATTTCAACACTCAAGAGGCTGATGCAAGAGGATTGCTCCAAGTTCGAGGTCAGAGCAAGCTACAAAGTGAATTCAAGCCCAGCCTGAACTACACAGTAAAACCCTGTCTCAAAAAAACCCTAAACATCAAGGATGAAAAACAATATTCCATGAGGCAATGGGAGCCTTCAAGCAAGCAGAAATAGCTATCTTATTTTCAGACAAGCTAAAACTGATCATGAGAGGCAAAGAAGGCCACTACACACTGGTTAAGGGGACAATTCAACTGGAAGAGATAATAAATATAAGCATACACACACACACACACACACACACACACACACACACACCCCAAACATGAGTGCACCCAACTTAATAAAATCAACACTATGGGATATAAAAGATCACATAAACATTAACACAAATTTATAGTGGAGTACCTCCATACACTACTATTACAAATAAATAGAACAACCAGACAAAAATCAACAAAGAAAAGTCAGAGTTAAACCATATTTTTGAAAACATGGACATAATGTATATCTAGAGTTTGACCCAACAAAATGTACAGTGTTAGCACCACACAGAACTTTTCTTAAAAACAGACTATGTGGGGCCAGGGAGATTGTTCAGTGGAATAAGCACTTCCCTGTCAAGTGCAAGGGCCTGAGTTCAATCCCTGGTCCCACCAAAAAAAAAAGAAAGACGATTATTTAAAAACAGACTATGTACCAGCTCATATAGCATGCTTAAATAAATGTAAAAGAATCAATATTACTTTGTGTACATTACCAGAACATGGTATAATGAAATGAGAATTCAATGGCAAAAGAAATTATACAAACACAGGGATATTAAACTCCTTAGTATTCAGCGGGTCACAGAAGAAATCAAGGAAGAAATGAGACATTTCTAGAATTAAATGATAATACTAGTACAATACAATAGAAACTATGGGATACAATGAAAATAATCCTAAGAGAAAGTTTATACTTATAAATGCTCAAATCACAAATATAGAGGAAACCCAAGTAAGTAACCTAATGATGTAACTTAAGGTCCTAGAAAAACACAATCTAAACTCAAAACTCGTACATAGCCAGCTGTCTTAGTTACTCTTCTCTCGTTGCTGGGACAAATATCCGACACTCAAAATGAAGGAAGGAAAGGTTTATTTAGCTCAGTTACTGGAGGTTTCAGTCCATACTCAGCTGGGTCCAATGCAGGGCAGCACAGAGCAGAAAGCAACCTTTCATGGTGGCAGCAAAGAGCAAGAGCGCAAGGGAGGGGTAGCAGCAGCTCAAGCAGATAGCTTCTCTTCCTACCTTACATTGTAATGAAAATTACCTGTCCCAGGGTAGGGGAAGTACTCACACCTATGGGTACTTCCCAGTACTTACCCACCTATGGGTAATCCCAGCATTACTAAAACCCATAATCCCTGCCTTGTATCACACATAATCCCAGTGGATCATGAGTTAACACAAACTCTAGAAGTCCTCACCCCATGACTGCATGAGGCTTTGGGGGGACAACTAGACACAAACCATAACACCAGCCAAATAACTCAGCGGATTAAAGCACCTGCTTAGGCAGACGCAGAGGCCTGGGTTCCATCCCTAGTGTGCTGTGCCCACTCTGCACTGAGAGGTCAACTGAGACTGTGTGTGGTGGCACGATTCTGTAATTCCAGCTCTTTGGGAGGCTGAACATGGGCGGATCACTACGAGTCTGATCTATGTAGTGGGATTCTATAGACTCTTACTAAAAATACGAAAAAAAAAAAAAAAAGCCTAGTACATAGAAGAAAATTACAAAAATGACACGAAATTCATACTAAAAAAATATAATCAATGAATCAAAGAGTTGGTTCTTCAAAAGCATAAACAAAATCGGGCTGGCAAGATAGCTCAGTGGTCTAAAGCACCTGCTTAGGCAAGCTTAGGCAGGCACAGGGGAATGTGGTTCGATCCCCAGTACCACATGCCTTCCCAGCCCCATTCTCAGGGCAGGGCTGAGCTGGCAAATAAATAAATAAACAAAATAGACAAAGCCTTGATCAACCTTACCAAAAAAAGTTAAACCCATAGCAATACAATTATAAATGAAAAAAGCAAAATCATGATGGACACCATCACAATCCAGAAAATTATTAGTAACTACTTAAAAAACCTGTAGTCTAAAACTTGGAGCATGTAGAAGAATTAGATAGATTCATAGGTACATATGAGTCACCAAAACTGAACCAAGAAGATATAAAAATGTTGAGCAGTCAAATAACAGAATGATATTGAGGAAGTAATGCAAAACCTACCAAAAAAAGCTCAAGACCTGAAGGATTTACCACTGAATTCTACCATAACTTTTGGGCAGATTAATGTCAATATACCTCAAACCCATTAATAAAATTGAAAGGTAGGGAGTATTGCCAAACTCATTCCTGGAAGGTAGCATTACCTTGATTCCAAAAGCAGATACAGACTCAAATGAAAAAGAAGGCTTCTGGCCAATCAGTTAAGGAACATAGGTTAAAGTCCTCAACAAGATTCTGGCAGAGTACAACAAATCAAAAAGTTATATATCATGGCCAAGTAGGTTTCATCTCAGGGATGCAAAGATGGTTTAACTTATGTAAATCAAGAAATATCATATAAACAGAAGGCCCAAAGCACATGACCATCTCCAAAGATGCAAAAAAAAAGCCTTTGAAAAAAAAAATCCATTATCCTTTCTTCATTTTAAAAAAGTAAAGCAGCCTCCCAACCTCCACCATCCTGCCAGAGTTCTGCTGAACCCTGACCACCTGTCCTGCCCTGAAGATTTTCAGATACTTGGCAGCCCGAGCCCTAAAACCCCAGCCATCCTGCTGGAGTTCCACTGAGTGTCAGCTGCCCATCCTCACCCTGAAGAACTCCAGAGAGACCAGGTAGGCTAGCCTCCCACCCCCACACCAGCCATCACACCAGAGTGCCTCTGAACCCAAGTCACCCATTCTCCTGAAGACTGTCAGGGACAATTGGAAAACTGCTGCAGGAAACTGAAACCAGGTGTCCAGAAGACTGCCACAGGGACCTGTGGTAGACTTGGGGAGCCCTACCCCACACCAACCCATCATTAAGAGAGCCTTACTGAACACTGGCATGCACTCATCATTATTGGATCCATCTTGAACTGTGGTTTGCCCCCCTCTCCTCAACAAGGTAGAAGACACAGCAAACCCCACACAGCAGCAGCTTTAGTGAGCCTATCCTGTCCTCCAACTCACCTAAGAGCCTTGCTGACCCATACCGCTCCCCTTACCATCATTGTACAGTCACTGGGGCTTCAAAAAATGGCAAAACAAAGGAACAAAAGGCTATCTCAGACCTCTAGCCCACCCAAAATAAGTTGAGAACACATAGTAATAGACAAATTAGAATTCACACACCTGAAATTTCTGAGGTGATAGCAACTTAATTAAAGAAACAAGTCTATGAGGCTACGGAGGAAATCAGATTAGAAATAATCTCTCAGTTAAAAAAGAAAATGACCACAATGACGAAAGCTTTGTTAAAATAGAAGGGAAGAGGCAAATGATGTTCAAAACATTGAATGAACAATACAGGAAAGAACTAGAATACAAGAAACAGATTCAAATAGATATCCAGGCAATTAAGAATTTCATTGAAATCTGGAAAAACTGCTTGAATGAAACAGAAGATAAAATTTAAGACCTTGAAGATAACAGTGCATCTAACAAATACTCAAGGAAAGCTCTCTTAAAAATACAACAGCTTCAAGATGATGCAAAGAAAAGTAAAATAAGACTAATAGGTATCAACAAAACAGCTGGAGTTAACAGAAATGACATAAAAAGACTATTTGCAGAAAACTTCCCAAGTATGGGAAAAGAATCTGACATACAGTAACTGAGGCATATAGAACTCCAGGTAGCCATAACAAATCTTTACCCAGACATAGAATGACTAAGATCACAGAAATTGGATCAAAACAAAATATTAAAAGCTGTTAGAAGAAACAGATCACCTGTAATGGAAAGTCCATCAGGATCATGGCAGATTTCTCAGCACAGACCATCAAATCAAGAAA